TTGGCTTTATAAAAGCCATACAGCACATTGGTGCATCTACAAGCTGTTTTTAAAGTGCTTTATAAATAAAATTTACATTTATTCATTTCGTTGTACTTTCAAATATTTCTTCTCAAAGTATATTTTTTTCACAGAAACTGACTAATTTCTGTTCAATTATATTAAAAAGACACAATACAAGCTGAATGAATGGGAAACATCATCATAGACCTTTCTGTTTGGAAAAAAACTTCTTTGGGATATTTTCCTTTTTAAAATGATCTAAAACATAAACTGAAACTACTGAAGTAACATTGATAATTCAATCTAGTAAACTCCTTGTACTAAAATAGCTACTTGAATTAAATCATTAGCACATGAGTAGAGTTTCACGCTTTTCTGCAAGTCCTCTTTAAAGTTTATGGTGTCACAAGACAAAATGTCAAACAACCATATAAAAAGCGTTTACCAGCAACTAATTGCAATAAGTGTCTCTCTGTCATGCTTTGAATTGGTTAAGCTGTTATGTAGGGGCCTTCTAGATGAAGAAATTGAGATATTGTAAGAGTGGAGAAACTGTCAGCTTCCTTATTTAGCTTAAGGAATATTAATATTTCTTATGATCTCAATATCTAATTGTTCTGGTCTAGTGTTGGTTTCAAATCAGAATATATTTTTACAGTTATTATTAGTCATTATTGTGATTTCTGAACAGCAAAATGTGATAAAAACATATCACAAGTCAGTATAATTTCCAGAAGCCTTTTGTTCATTTTGTCTCCCTCTCCTCTGAGCAAACAAAGCTTTCAGTGCAGTCTTGCTGACTTGCTGAGATTCAATGATTCTGAGAGACACAGAGCAGAAGAGCTGAGCCAGAGACACTCTACACTTTTAAATCACTGATGCAACTCAGCTTGTGTATCTCTATGGAAACAATGAGGACAAACAGTTGAACAGTGTCTTGTTTTGTTTAGTTTAATGGTATTTCTTCCTTAAAGTAGACTGAATTAACAAATCTTTCTTTGAAAAGATTTTACCCTGAGGGTGTGGGTGGGCTCAGTGATTTTAAGTTGGCTTGCTGCCTTTCAGAAATGACTGCTGCAGGGAGATAAACATCTGGTGTAACTGATGTGATCTGCAAGGCTGGAGGAAAGACTGTTATAATAAACACTATAAGATCAACGGTGGGACTGGAAGAGGAAAAGGCTCCATTCTTGCATATAATTCTTAGATTATCTGTTAAAATAATCTGTGACTTCCTATATATCTCAAACCATTTTGAAGTAGTCCATCCATCCATCCATCCATCCATCCATCCATCCATCCATCCATCCATCCATCCATCCATCCATCCATCCATCCATCCATCCATCCATCCATCCATCCATCCATCCATCCATCCATCCATATTAGTTCCTGTTCTCAGTCTCTCGGGCTATGATTTCTGTTGTTTTGCTGAGCAGCTTTGTCAAACTGTCCACTAACTAGTTTACTGGTGAGCTTCCTTGTTAGTCAGTTAACTATTTATTAGTAAGAAGCTTCAGAACCTGTGATTTAGGTTTCCCATATGCAAGTATTTGAATGTTGAGGTTTCAAGGACATAGATTGCTGCATGAGTAAAATGTATTCCATATTGTTTAGATTTAAATTTGAATTGTAATTGTATCTAACCCCTCTCCTCTTTATAGCACAATCCCAAAATATATCATATGAAGTCAGGGAGGGGGACGTGAATTGACCCATGTTATATTTTGTCCAAGCAGACAACTTCTGGAGAAGATGGAAACATCATGGAAAATGTAATAAAAGAGAAGAAACACCCTTTTTTGTAGCTAATAATAAGTAACTAGAAACAAACTCAGTATGGGATTACAGAATGTTGTTTGTAGATATTAAATCATATCTCTATCTGAAATAATGCCTGCAAAAGTATAAATAGACTTTCTTTGCAAAGAACTATGAACAACCAAACACAAATGTGTTAAAATATATTAGCCTTTTGGTCACTTAAATGCTTGAGGAAAATGGGAGAAATTTAAAACCCCCTATTTCAACTTTTATGTAAAGAATGGCCATAAAAGCCAAAAAGAGTTATATTTCTGTTTGGTAACATTACCTTGCATTCAAGACAAGTGATATTCCATAATTTTTTTAAAGTCTGCTACCTTAGTCTTTGTTATTTTCTTGCATTAATGGCTTATACAGTATTTTTTGTAAATTGTTCAAATAGGCATGCTCTTAGAAACAGAAGGATTTTACTCAAACATAGAAAAGAAAATATTATTAAAATGGACAAATGCAATAAAAAGAGAAATGCCTGAAGAATTGCACGGTGGCCCTCACAACATGTCCTTGGTGTCAAACACTTAAGCTCATTTTCCAAACTTGCCGTACATGTTCACATGAAAAACAACCACTGAACCAGTGTTGGGGGCAATGGCAATTCTGGCTCCAAGGCTCATGCTGAGCCCCCTCTGTCACGGCTGGACAGCCGAGGATTGTCACAGACAGAGCAGGGATTGTATTTTGCTGATCTGTCACCTAACAGCTGCAGCAGAATGCAGACAGCAGGCCGTAATCATTGTCTACAACCCTGTATTTGCTGATGCCACCACCTGGGACAAATAGCTTCCATTCTTGGCAATCCTGGGAATTTATTATTTGTTTCTTTTTTTTAACATTGACGAGAGTTGCAGGAGCTGATAAATAAAAAGCGAGGTTAAGCAAGAAATTAATAAGACCATCGACCTATTAAGGCGGGTTGTGGGGAGTAATATTTTTTATGGTGTGATCATCTTAAAACCGCAGGCGCCAGGCAGCAAAAGTCCTTCTTTGTTTTATCTCCCATGATGGTGAATCACCACCATGTACCTCCAATAGCTGTAGCAATCATTCTTTTCCATTATTTGTGACCAATGATTCATGATAAGGGATCCCTGGCAACAAATTTAATCTACTTAAACAAAAAAAGTAAAACCATATGCATATTTTGTTAATGTTTGTTCATCCATGGTTTATTATGTTTTTCAGATTGCTTTTCTGTCATTATGGGCAAACCTCTTTGTAGGCATGACAGTGCAGATTTAGAGGTGGGAGTTTTGCAGCACAATAGGTCACCATCATTACACACAGGGCAAACTGTAGTAATCTAAAGAGGACAAAGAGAAGCTGTAATTCTTCACCAGAGCCCCCAGAGGTGTTATTAAGTCAGCAAGTGAGGTGGAATTTGGTACACCTAGAAAATAAAGGGTAGAGTTTTCAGAATTTCATCTGTAGGGAATTCATTTGGAGGCGGCCCTGAATCTGGCAACACAAAACTTAAAACTAAATTGATACCTCTTTTAATGCATCAATTTGTTAATAACTGTGTGTGACTTCTTTCATTCAACCAGCTAAGCTCATACCATAACTATAGATGTCTGTCTCTCAAACTTCTATGCACACTACCATTTGATGAGTTTCAGAGTTATATCATTGACCCATAATTAATATAGCCAAAGTTATTTATATATAACGTCATTTTCCCTTCAAAGTCAGCTTAAAGTCTAAAATGTGCTTTTAAATAACAACCACTTCACTGTTTTCTCTCATGGTAACTTTTCTCCTCTTATTTTAGTGAGTTTTATGGCTACCGGCTCATATCTGTCAGTGGAGAGGGGGCCTGCACTCACTTTGGGAATGAAGCTTTAACTGGGCACCTTTGGACTGTAGTAACAACAGAACACTTAACAAGCAGACCTTTTTTTCCAGATATCCATAGCAACTGGCAAAACCTTTGGAAAATGTTCAGAAAGGCCACTAGCAAAGACCTCTCTTTTTGTATCTCTTTCTTTGTCTCACTGTGTGCAGAGTTTGCTTGGAGGAGTGACTAGGTCAAAAATAGGGAAAGGAAACGCATAAACCAGAACAAACATTTTGGTGAATGGTAATTTTTCCATTTACAAACATTTTGCTGTATTTCTCAGTATGTAACAACAAATGAGTCTGATATACAACATTATATTTTATCAAATGAATTCCATTTTTATAGAACCTTCTATTTTTTGGTCATATTTTTTTTTCTTAGGATGATACTTTCTAGTTGCATGTATTTTAAATCAACTTGCCAGAGAAAATCACTTCAACGGTAACTTTCTGAAGCCTGTTGAAATCAGAATAGCATAAGCAGCACTGACAGCTGACCATTTGCCTCTCAGCCTCTCCTCATTTAGCCACAAATAAATCAAACATATAAAACTGAACCAACCTGAGAGGGATTGCTGGAGAATTCAGCATCATCATAATGAACGTATCTTCCCATTTTTATTTCCTTAAATAGGTGAAAATAAAATGTGTGATTTTAAGACTTTTGTGTCATGGGCTCCTGCTCTGGACTTTTGTTTATGTTGTACTTTTTTGCCTTTTGGATGTTTATGTTTGTGATGGCTGCAACTACAGCCACCCAAATGTGGTAACATTCAATCACAACACACACTAAGTCAGCAAGTCTCATTTCATTTATATTGGGATTTCTTTACATTTAGGATTTAATTTACAGAATTTTTGTAAGTCATAACACTGTATTCTAGAATAAGTGCGCACATTTTAGTTTACACTGTTATGTTCTGCTTGATTTAATCTTTGTTTGTTTTTTTGAGTCACCTCAGTGCTGGCTGCTCCAGTCCTTCAGGAGAACAGAGGTGGAGAAGGGGTGGAGCCAGCCCATTGAAGCTGCAAATTGGTTTACACCACTTCTCATCAGTAAGAGGGGGGGAATGGGATTTTCCTCTGTTAATTTCAGTTAGGTTTTTGTGTGTTTCCCCCTTTGTATCGTCTATGTGGCCTGATCAGCCAGTATTTAAGTTTTCCCTTTGTCTCATGTAGCAGGTCTGTTTGTTTCAGTAGGTCTTTTGTTAGCCTGAGTTAAATTCTGTTACTTTGACCTCTTTTATGGGCCCAACTTTGTGATTTGTTTTTGTTGACCCAAGTTCTTTGTTTTGGGTTCAATAAAAAGACTTTTTGGATCTAAACCTGTGCCTGATCTTCCCTTGACTGCTCAGACCATCACAATTGGTGTCAGAAGTGGGATTTTTGCAGTCAGAGGTACAGGTTTATTTTTTCTTTTTTGATTAGTCCCTCCCCTGTTATCAAGCCATACACAGAACAGGAAGGAGTGCCAAAGGATCAAAAGGAGATCCTCAAAACCAGCCTGTTGGAATGGAGGAGCAAGTTGGAGAAGAAAGTGGAGACTCTGGAGGGGTGGAAAGTAAAGAGGGTAAGGAGCCAACAATATCTGAAGTAATTTCCATTCTTCGTGCTCATATGGGCCAGCAGGAAGCCCAGGAAGCAAGACGAAGGGAGGAGTTTGATCGGCAGGAACAGCGCTTCAGAGCACTACAACACCAATTTCAGCTATTACAGGTGGAAGTGCAAGCTCGTACCACCCCTGCTCCTGAGCCTCAAATGGATGAATCACAATCAGATACAGGTGATGATGATGATGATGATCCTCCACATGGCAGTAATGAGCTAAGGGATGCTCCCTCAGGTCAGTTTCACTTTCATGAACCCAGACTTGAAAAACTGACAGATGAGGATGATATTGAACATTTCCTGACAACATTTGAATGCATGGCTCTAGTTTGCCGGTGGAAAAGAGCGGATTGGGTTTTCCATCTGATTCCACTACTCACTGGTAAAGCAAGAGGTGCGTATGTTCATATGGATATGGATGACTCTCTGGATTATGATAAAGTTAAAGAAGCTGTTCTTCAAAAGTATGACATCAATCCTGAGACATACAGATTGAGATTTCGATCACTGGAAGTAAAACCAGATGAGAATCCAAAAGAACTGTATGCAAGACTGAAAGAGTTGTACGGAAAGTGGGTGATGCCAAAACAAAAAACTGTGCATGAGGTCAGTGAAATAATCATTTTGGAACAATACTTAAGAATGTTGTCTCCTGAGTTGCAGATATGGATTAAAGAACATAACCCAAAGTCTGCTGCAGAAGCTGCGCAGTTGGCTGATGTGTTTGTGGCCGCACAGAGAAAGGGACAACCATGGAGTCAAACAGCATGGAAAAGGAGGGAGGTTTCAAAGCCTGTTCCTCACTACCAAAAGGCAGGGGTGAGTAAAACTCTAAAGACCCAGCCATTGAATGCACCATCAAGAGCCCCAACCAAGACAGTGATCTGTTATCTGTGTGGGATGGAAGGGCACACAAAACCAATGTGCCCGCAAAACTCTACAAATATAACACAAATGTGTTTTGTGCCCAGAAAAAGTGTGGACTCTAAAGTGCCGTTTGGCTTGAGGACGACCTCAATTGAAGTTGAGGGTAAGCAATTAAAGGCCCTCATTGATTCAGGAAGTACACAAACCCTGGTGCACAGAGACTTTGTTCCAGCAAATAAAGTTAATGTGGAAACAATCCCTGTCCGCTGTGTTCACGGACATGAGTTATTATATCCAACAGCAGAGCTGTATATTAAAGTACAAGGCCAACTCTACCTTTTAAATATTGGTGTGGCTGAAAACTTGCCATTTCCAGTAGTGTTGGGTCAAGATCTGCCGGTGTTGTGTGATTTATTGAACTTTAACAATATGTGCAATGCGGCATTAACCAGATCTCAGGCTAGTAAGAGGGAGGAGTTTCTGCAACCACTCTGTGCCTTACCTTTTTATGATGCGGACCTGGAGACCACGCCTGGGAAGTCTCGCAAGTCCCGCAGACAGCGACGGCAAGAGAAATTTCAACACTCTGTTGTAGAACTATCTTCTAGCTCTAAGCCTGCGTTACCTTTGGGGTTTAAAATCCCTGCTAACATAATCGAAATGCAACATAGTGATCCAGCTCTAACACCTTTATTTCAGAAAGCAGAGGGAAACCAACAACCTGAACGAGGTTCAAAGAAGCTGGAGGAATTTTTTTTGAAAGATGGCATCCTGTACCGTCAACAGGGGTCAGTGTTGCAGTTGGTGGTTCCCAGACCAGTCCAGAAGGTGGTGCTGTCCTTAGGACATTCCATTCCATGGGCTGGCCATCTTGGAAAGCACAAGACAATGGCCCGCATCAGAAAATACTTTTACTGGCCTGGAATACAATCTGACGTGGCTCTCTTCTGCAAAGGCTGCCCTCAGTGCCAAAAGTCTTCTCTAAAAATCCCCTCCAGAGCTCCTCTTCAGTCGTTACCAATCATCAACACGCCGTTTGAACGGCTGGGAATGGACATTGTTGGTCCCCTGGAAAAAAGTAAATCAGGCAATCGTTATATGCTTGTGATTCTGGATTATGCTACAAAATATCCAGAGGTGTTTCCTTTGAAATCAATAAAAGCTAAAGCAGTTGCCTTCTGTCTCATACAGCTCTTCTCACGAGTGGGGTTTCCTGCTGAGATTCTTACTGACTGTGGAACTAACTTTCTGTCCACTCTGTTGAAGCAGGTGTACCAACTCCTCGGCATTAGGAGCCTGAAGACCACTCCATACCATCCTCAGACAGATGGCCTTACAGAGCGCTTCAATCAGACTTTGAAACAGATGTTAAGAAAGTTTGTCAACGAAACCGGTACAGACTGGGACCAGTGGTTGCCTTACCTTCTCTTTGCATATCGAGAAGTGCCACAGGCCTCCACTGGTTTTTCACCATTTGAATTGCTATATGGTTATGATGTACGAGGTCCTCTATCTCTCCTAAGGGAGACATGGGAAGGTGACAAAGAAAGCTCTCAAGCTGTAAATGTTGTCTCTTATGTTGTCCAGATGCGGGAACGGCTGGAAAGGATGACTGCATTGGCCCAAGCTCACAAAGAGGAAGCACAGAAACATCAGAAAAACTGGTATGACCAGTCAGCTCGCCACAGGTCCTTCAGGCCTGGCCAGAAAGTGCTGGTGCTCCTTCCAAGTGCTGACAGTAAGCTGCTGGCAAAATGGCAAGGCCCGTATGAAATCCAGAGCAGACTGGGACAAACAACCTACAAGATTGCCATTCCAGATCAGCCCCGCTCCACCAGAGTACTTCATGTCAACCTGCTTAAAGAATGGGTGGAGAGACCAAAGGCAGATGTTTTTCTTATTCAGGAGGTTCTAGAGGAGGAGGAAGAGGATACTCAATATCTGCCAAAACCCTCACCTCAGTTTCTAGACCTGAATCACCTCTCTGAGGAAAAGCAAGCTCAGGTGAGAGATCTTTGTAAACCAAACATGTTCCAGGGAAATCCTGGTAAAACAGAACTTGTCCAACATGACATTGTATTAAAAAATGGAGCTTCTGTGAGAAGACTGAGTTACAGAATACCTGAGCACCTGTTGGTTTCCCTAAAAGAAGAAGTCAACCTGATGCTGTCACTTGGAATTATTGAACCATCAAGGAGTGAGTGGTGCCACCCAGTGGTTCTGGTGCCAAAGAAGGACGGCAGCATACGTTTCTGCATTGATTTCAGGTATCTGAATGGAATAACACATTTTGATTCATATCCAACTCCCCGCATTGATGACATGGTTGAGCGGCTTGGGAAAGCCAGATATTTAACAACCATAGATCTCTGCAAGGGTTATTGGCAGGTACCCCTGACGGAACGTTCAAAAGAACTGACTGCTTTCCGGACCCCCTGGGGCCTGTTCCAGTTTAAAGTCATGCCATTCGGATTACATGGTGCCCCGGCAACATTCCAGAGACTGATGGATCAGGTACTGTCTGACATGTCTAATTTTGCTGCGGCCTATCTTGATGACATAGTCATTTTCAGTTCTACCTGGGAAGACCACCTGAAACACCTGGAGAGGGTGTTGGAGCGCCTCCAATCTGCGGGGTTGACTATTAATCCAGCCAAGTGTGCAATTGCCAAGGCTGAAACTGAGTACCTTGGGTTCGTGATCGGAAATGGAGTGATAAAGCCTCAAATAAATAAAATTGCAGCTATAGAGTCTTGTCCTCTGCCTGAGACTAGAAAGCAGTTAAGATCCTTTTTGGGTATGGCAGGATTCTACCATCGTTTTATCCCCCATTTCTCAGCCAGGGCCGCTCTACTAACAGACCTCACTGGTTCCCGAAGCCCCCATAAGATCATCTGGACGGAGGAGGCCAAGACGGCTTTCCAGGATCTGCGACAATCTCTCAGTAAGAGTCCAGTCCTGCACAGCCCTGATTTTGAAGGAAATTTTATTCTTCAGACTGATGCCTCTGAGAGAGGTTTGGGTGCCGTTCTGTTACAGGGACCACCTGGAGATCGCCATCCAGTGGCTTTTATTAGCCGCAAACTCTTTCCAAGGGAAGTGCGATATTCAACCATTGAAAAAGAGGCACTGGCCATCAAATGGGCCCTGGATTCCTTCCGGTACTACCTTCTTGGGAGAGAGTTCAACTTAGAAACTGACCACAAAGCTCTGCAATGGATGGAGAAGATGAAAGATACAAATGGAAGGATTACACGCTGGTACCTTGCAATCCAGCCGTTTCGATTCACCATCCACCATATCCCTGGCAAGGACAACTGCATTGCGGATTGTCTCTCTCGCTGTCCCAGCAAGAGATTTGAAGAGGGGGAGTGTGTGATGGCTGCAACTACAGCCACCCAAATGTGGTAACATTCAATCACAACACACACTAAGTCAGCAAGTCTCATTTCATTTATATTGGGATTTCTTTACATTTAGGATTTAATTTACAGAATTTTTGTAAGTCATAACACTGTATTCTAGAATAAGTGCGCACATTTTAGTTTACACTGTTATGTTCTGCTTGATTTAATCTTTGTTTGTTTTTTTGAGTCACCTCAGTGCTGGCTGCTCCAGTCCTTCAGGAGAACAGAGGTGGAGAAGGGGTGGAGCCAGCCCATTGAAGCTGCAAATTGGTTTACACCACTTCTCATCAGCAAGAGGGGGGGAATGGGATTTTCCTCTGTTAATTTCAGTTAGGTTTTTGTGTGTTTCCCCCTTTGTATCGTCTATGTGGCCTGATCAGCCAGTATTTAAGTTTTCCCTTTGTCTCATGTAGCAGGTCTGTTTGTTTCAGTAGGTCTTTTGTTAGCCTGAGTTAAATTCTGTTACTTTGACCTCTTTTATGGGCCCAACTTTGTGATTTGTTTTTGTTGACCCAAGTTCTTTGTTTTGGGTTCAATAAAAAGACTTTTTGGATCTAAACCTGTGCCTGATCTTCCCTTGACTGCTCAGACCATCACAATGTTATTCTGTGTTTTTATAAGTATCATAAGCTGAGCCCGAGGCTAAGTCAGAGTCACATGCTTTGCTTAGTTATTTACTTCAAAGGCGTAAACAGTGTTGTGGATAATGGGTTCCTAAGATAATCAGTGAAGATAAATCAATAACACTAAAGAACAGACTTTGATACAGCCTTGTGACCATAAAATGAGTTACAGAAACTATGATTTTGAAAAGATCTAAAATTTAAATGATTTTTGCTTTCAACTAAAAAAAATATATATAACATTCAGAATTAAAATATTATATCCTATCAATAATATGTAACTAACTGTATGCTCATTTAAAATAATGTTTAATAACCTTTTATACTTATAATAATACTTTTAATCTGAAATAATAAGCTTCATTGGAGCGCATCTTGTAATTTATTAAATATGACTAGATAATGTGAAATACTATATTCTGAGAATTTTACATCTGAAACCAGATCATAAAATTAAAAACGTTTTGCAAACTGCTGTTATGTCAGTGAGTGAGCTTTTTGAACAATTTTTTAAATGAGATTTTCCATTCTGCAAATTGCAAGTAAAATTTATCTGAATAACTGCTTTGTATATTGTTAAATCAAACTGTGCAAATGCATCAGTTAGGGAAATAGTAATTAGGAGTACATCCACTAGGTTACAGACATTCCAGGGCACATTAGGGTCATCTTAACTGGTGAAAAAAGTATGGGACAAATTTGTAAATTGGACATTTCTTCAAAGTTGAATGAAAGACGTGAGGCTGAAGAAACTATATATTTCAAGTGCTGATTATCTTCTACATCTGACAGAATTCTCCTGTATTCTTCATTTGTCAGGAAAACGTAGAAAGTTTGCAAGACCAAATATTTCCTTGCGAGAATGTCTTAAATTCCATCGATTACAACCAAATGTAAACCTTTGGGTGCAAATTTGTATGTATTTCACTGAAACATAGCTGAAAAAAAGCCCCCAAAAACACCTTACCCACAATCCATCGTGCTTTCTGCTGATTGAATTCCGTTTTGATTCTATGTATTTATATAATGCTAATGCATATTATTATAACATTTTGTTTTAAGTCAGTTAAGAAAAAGTTAATTAGGTCCAACCAAACAGCCAGAGTCTAAATAAGGTTTAATGTTCTAAATTTGTCCTAGTGATCAACCCACACAGTCAAGTTCATATTCATCTTTCAAGAGGCCCTTTCGTTTTCAAGGTGGATCTTAAAATTATGTTTTGGGATCATGTTGCAATTCAGCAATAGGAAGCATGATAGATTGTCTTGGCCTGATATCCAATCATGTGTGGTGTTTTGAGTACAGGTGAGGATGCAACCCGGTTGAATGTGAGGTGTAGCTAGACTTTTATGCCAATGTTCTTTAATAAAGATGTGATCAAGAAAGCAAGCATATTTAAAGTTTGGTCCTCAAGGGCAAATGACCTATAGGTTTTCAATGTTTCTTGGCTCCAGTACAGCTTATTCTGATGACTGCAGTTCACCAAAAAGCCTACAAATCAGCTATTATGGACATCAGCTGTGCTCAAGCAGGGAAACCTCTAAAACCTGTAGGAAAGGGGCCCATGAGGCCTGGTTTATTGTTAAATGTTGCTGAATATGAACTAATATACCAAACAATGAGGACAATATAATAAAGGCCTCACCAATATGAATTAGTAATAGAACCATTAACTACTTATTGAGATACTGTAAGATCGACCATATGGCTGTTGCACTAGCACCTATAGGTGGTGTTTGTTTGAATTGTCTAGAAAAGTTCTTTAAGAACTTAGATATTAGTAAAACATGGACAGTTGCTGTCACTGTGAAGATTAGCTGCTAAAAGAGCTACTTCATCTTCATCTTAACTTGGAACGCAACGCAGAAATAATCACGCTCTGCTTTGCATCTGCTTTGCATCATTGCTCTCTGATCAGTGATATTGAGCATAATGTTTCCTGGACCAGGCCTGAAAAAAGTCATAGCTTCCTGGAGGTCGCGGAATTTACTGTCCTAGTATATAAAATGGTGATGGCTACTAATTTATCCAGGAAAGAGAGAAGCTTCTGGTCAGAGAGCAGGATTCATAGGGAGTACATCACCATGCATAAATCAAGTGTAATCCAACATTTGGCACAGTGATGAAGGAATAGCATTGTAGGTTAAAATCTTAAAACAGATTTTGCATAATAGGGGCTCTTTAACAAGAAGAAACCTATATCAGAGCAACTAAGCCATTTGCCATGAGTGTTAGGTATCTTCTGAATGGATTGAGATACATCTGTGGAGGTGCTATAAATATGAATGTTTATTTTATTTTAACTTCAAACTCATCTTAGTTTTTGCCAAAATTTTATTAGAACTATGACTTAATTGATCTGCAACACTCAATTGGAGTAACATTGAAATAAAGAAGATATTATTTAAATAAAGGTAAAAATGTTTTGGAATAATATAGAATTCAGAATAAATGGTAATTGAACATCAATAAGGTAATTTATGGAAGTCTTTAGACAGGATATTTCCTCACAAATTAATAAATTTAAGACATTTCTGTGTGCTGCAGTATTGGCAAATATTGTTAAATCAAGTTGTGGGATGTACCTCCATCAAATAAAACTAAACGCCAAATGCATTTGATCAAAGACGGCTTACGACTTAAGTGAAGTGATGTCCATACATTATGCAACCTATTTATTGGATCTTTTTGTTCGATTGTCTTGTTCTTTGTTTTTAACAGTCTATATTTTTTCTGTTAATTTGAGCAGAAAAATATTAAGGTACATGTGGAACTATTTAAAATGATTTTTTATATGGTCTCATCTTTGATATATAAAAAACCTAGAGCATGGTTTTCTAGCCAGGGAGTGTAGACATTTGGAGGCCACTTTTATTTATAGCACAGAAAACAAATATATTAAGACTCTTTACAAACTAAAATAATGTTTTTAGAAATTTTTGAACTAAGGTAAGATTATCTCTGCATTGGAAAAAAATCAGGTAGACACACTAATTAGGAACCCTGTATGCAGGGAGGCTGCAGATTTCAAATAAAGGAAGTGGTGAGATAAAAATTACATGTTGCCTAAATAGAAAGAAAAACAGTTCAATGTAGGTTTTCGACATAGAATGTTCTCTGTTAAAAAAATTTCTTTGTCCTTTGCCCAGTTTCTAAAACTATAAAACATGCAGATACAGAAAGGTTTCTTTAGTATTAAATTCATTATTTAGCAATGAAAGTCAGAAACATCAAATCCATAAAAAATAAATCATATTTATTTTCAGGTTAACTTCATTAGTAACCACCTTAAAGACAGCACTGAAGTTACTGCATATTTAACATAATGTTTGACTGTATCTCTAGATAATTAAGAGGCACTGCTGTTATTCACCAAACGAATCACTGAGGTTCCTGTTGATTACAGTCTAACTGAAGAGAACATCTTCTAGCAGCAAAACAAGACAAAGTTACCCATAAAACACAACGTATAATGTGTTTTTGTTTTAATTTTTTTAAATTAGAGTTTCTCTTTTTATAATATAGGGCAGTATTGCCCACATCTTAAATGCAGAGAGTCCAAGGAGTCCTGAGCTTGCAGTGCACCCTGTTCACCATTGGATGTCCTTCTTGGCTCTGTTACTGCAGAGGACACAACCTCCGGATGCACTTTTCTGTCTGGGATTTTAAACTCAACTGAAGCAAATGAGGACAGACTGCCATTTCTATTAGCCCAAGTTTTGGATGTGTCAACAGTCGGCGAGACCCTGAAGCCTCTTGCTTTTATGCTGCTTGCGTCGTGTTTCATGCTCCTGACACTTAGCTCATCTAAGAATGGGTCGGAATCGCTTCCATGTGGCATGTTGTAGTAGGTGCATTTTGGAGTCAAAGGCTTGGCCATCTCCTCGAGCTCTGAGGAAGATATTGTAGCAAGGGGTCTGTGCTTGGTTTTAGAATATGAAGGGGAGTCTATGCTTCCATTTTCCTGGCCTGTGTCTGTCGATGTGCTGTCCAGATTACTGTACATTCCCAGCGAGACCGGGGGGGATTTTCTTATGAGATGGTTTTCCTTAAGAAGCCATCTCCCTCGATCAATCAAAACCCCATCAGCTGAGTCTTTATCAAAAGTTAGAGGTACTTCTTGTGTATTTTCTGTTCCATTTTCAGTTTCTGCTTTTATTGAACTTGCAGCACTGAAATAAGAGAGATCTTCCCCAGAAGCTTTAGAGCCTTCATCACTGGAAGGACTGTTTCCACTTTTTAATGAGCAATTTGCAGCAGACAGTTTTAAAAGCCTTTGTTCTAAGATTCTTCCCTCAGTGCCGTTTGCTTCATCTAAAGGCTCTTCTCCACTTTCTGAGACAATGTCTATCGACTCCTGAGTTTTATATCCTCCACTGCCCGATGTCTCTGGTCGGTAATCAGATAAATCAGATGTGACTGGGCTTGGGAGGCATTTTAGACCATAAGAACTATCATTTCTGGGTTTTGGTATCAAATGTTGCTTAGTTTGTACAACTCTAGCATTATCAGGAGCTATTCTAATATTTCCTTGAGTATCATATGTGAATATAAGTGAATAAGACTGAAGAGCATCATTCACAAAGTCTAGGAGCTCCTGAGAGATTTCCACTGGATGGGTTAAACTGTTCCTTCTGTCCTCTTCTCCACCTTCATCTGTCTCATGAATAGTGTCTGTACATTTGTCATTGTACTGGCCTTCAGAGGAATGTTTAGATAGACTTTCCTCAGTTTCTTCACAGGAATTACTGTGCTGCTGCTGACAAATAGCTTCATTTGACATTGTTTTAAAGTCATGATAGGGGGGGATATTATCTAAATTTTCAGAAACAGCCCCTTTCTCCACCTGATCTTTTTGTGCAACTTCCATCGGTTCCAATGTCTGATTTGCTTTGCTTTCTTCATCACTTTTCCTCTCTTCTTCTTCTACAGTTTGCACTGATGGCATGTTTTGCTCGTTGTCATCCTCATGTTCACCTATTTCATCCAGCAATTTAATTTTTGTATTCATCACACAATTTTCCTCATCTTCAAACTCATCATTCTTTTTTCCATCTGATTCATTCTCACTTTCCTTTTCTTCTTCATATTCACTCTTTTCGTCTTCCTTATTTTCCATCTCCTCTTCCCTGCTTCCTTCACTATCGCTAGCTGTTAGCTGGACTTCCTCGTCCTCATCTTTTTCCTCAGCATTATCTGAAATGTATTCACTTCTCTTAGCATTGAACTTATTAAGTTCAAAAATAGCTCCACCTGAAGTCTTGTCATATTCATTGTTTTCCTGCTCTAATATCTCACTATTTCCCCCCTTTTCCCCCGTTTCCTCTTCCACTTCCTTCTCTGTTTCCTCAGAGAGAGAGCCTTCAAATTTCTCTGTTGCGCTCTCCCCCTCCTCCTTCTCTTCCTCCTCCTGTTCCTCCTCCTGATCCTCCTCTTCGCGGTCCTGCTCCTCTTCCTCCTCATGATCCTCCTCCTCTTCCTCCCCCTGCTCCTCCTCATTCTCCTCTTCTTCCACCACCACTTCATTTACTTCCTCTTCACTTTTCATAGTTTCTTCAGGCTCCCTATCCTGACAGTTTTCTTCCTCCTCTGACTCCTCATAATCCTCCCCCTGCTCCCCCTCCTGTTCCTCCCCATTCTCCTCTTCCTCTACCACCACTTCATTTATTTCCTCTTCATTTTTCATAGTTTCTTCAGTCTCCCTATCCTGACAGTTTCCTTCCTCCTCTGTCTCACATTCCCCCTCCCGCTCATCTGTATCTTCAACACTATCCTCATTTCCTGTTTCCTCATTTTCAAAATTTGTTTCTTCCTCTGATCTCTGCTCTGTAACCTCTCCATTCCATGTTTTATCTTCTTCTATTTTGTTGCCAGATTTCCCAACACTTGCCTTCCCTTCCTCTGAATCTTCCAACATCTCTGTTTTCACCTCCTTCTTTGTGTCCGATTCACTTTTCAAGTACTCATTTTCCTTCACATCTAAATCTGTTTTCTTTCCAAAATGACTTATCTTTTCTTCATCTTGCCTCTTATTTGTAAGTGCTTCATATCTTTTTGAGTCTCCACTATCTTTTGACATTTCATCCAGGTTGACTGCTGAATCTTTAGTTTCCTCTTCACACTCCTCAACAAATCGTTCTACATCTTCCTCTGACTCTGACTGGTTTCTAACAGTCTCAACAAAAGTGCTCTCCTCAGCAGGGTAGAAACTTTTGGTTTGTTGGATTGTGGAGACGATCTCCTCTCTGAGGTCTTGCGGCATGTTCAGCTCCTCCATGAGTTCATTAAGGACCATTTGTTGATCATCAAATGCATCACCACCTTCAGAGACCACATCCAGTGCAAACTCAGTCTCTGAAACTCTGGGAGAGAGTGGTTCACTCTCCAGCCTCTCCCTCAGAGTCTGGAAATCCTTCCAGCTCTCTCTTAGTTTGGAAGATGCTCTGCTTTGCAAGTTGGTAAGACTTTCCCTTTGCTCTTCTTCATCTTCTAAAGCAGATATCTTCTGCAGTGACTCCATCATTAGCATGGCCTCTGAAGGGGTTCTTGATTGGTTCCCTTCCCCAAGTTGGGAACTTTCCAAGTTATCTCTCAGTGTCATTACTGACAAGAATGAGACAAAGGCTTTACATGATGAGCCAAACACTGAGGCAACTTGTGTTGAGAAATTTGGAAGACTGCTTGAATTTTTAAGAGTGGGGTCAGTGCTGCTGGCAGATGCTCTTCTAATGCACTGAATTGATGAACAAACCTGACGAAGAACTGGTTTTAGCTTTGCCTTAGGACTCAACAAGTTAGATGAAGATGGTTCCCCTTCATTTGGACCAATGGCGTCAACAGATTTGTGTAACCTGAGTTTATTTTCGTGGTTTTCTGGGTCTGCCCTGACACTTGGCATTGAAACACAAAGACCTCGGCTTATCTGTTCACATGTTGCCAGCCCCCCATGGCAAAGAGGAACTGATAAACACGAGGAGGATTTTTTCATTGCATCGTTTGATATAGTCTGACATTGATTTATTTCATCTGATTCTGAATCGCCACCTATCTTAAATACTACCTTTTCACGAGTTTCTGCTTCATCTGTTAACATATCCTCTGTGTACAGCACAGGGTCCTGGCTGACTTTTTCCAACCAGTTTTCAACATATTGGTGTATTTCCGAAGGAGAGGGATTTAAAGAAGGTAATGAGGCATTCTCGCTCTGTTCTAAAGATGATTTGGCTGGTGATGGTACAAATTCGGTCATGGACTTTGGCCGGCTGACTGTCTTTTTACTGGGGGAAAGTGTTTTTGTGGTTTGTAAGATGTCTGACATGTTCTTCTTCATCTGAGGCCTTCCCGTTGGAGTGTTAATATTGTGGCCATTATCTTTTGCTGCTATTTTGCTCTGGCTTTTTTTCCTCTGCGGGTTAATTTTTGTATTTCCAGGGTTGAGCGATGAGATTGAAGCATTTTTGGACATTTTTTCTGTTTTTATTGATTTCTTAGATTCAGACGTTTTGACTGATTTATTGTTTAGCAAACTTTTAGATCCCTCCAATGAATTTAAGCTTTTTTTCCCTACACTGGTGTTGCTGCTCAGCTTGTCAGTAGATGAATATTTACTCTGCTTTGATGATCCTTTTGTACTTTCTTGATGTTTTCTATCTGAGCTGTTTGTTGAAGCTGAACCTTTCTCATTCCAAAGAGGCTTAGCAATTTTTTTCTTCTGGGTACTTTTAACAGAACTATCCTTGTTAACTGCTTCCAACATCTTTGAGCAGACAACCTCCTTCTTAGTTACTGAAGATAGATTGTTTGTAGACTGATGTGTCAAAGATCCTGGCCCTGATGATAGCGATAGAATCTCCTCTTTCTCCCTCTGTACTGAGTCAGTGGTGGGCGGATGCCAGTTACAATCTATATCACAGTCATTGCTGGACAAGTTAGGCCCTGAGGTAGTGGATGGTTTGCTTTCTGCCACCGGTGAAGTGCCATCTGCACTGAACTCCTCATTTGCAACATAGTTGTCATAGCAGCCCTGACTCTCGTAAATATGCATCACGGTCTCTGTAACCTCCATTCCATCATTTTTTATGTGAAGGACCTCAGCGACCCCCGATGATCCGGCAGAGGAGCTTCTTTTGCTCACTCCTGACAATGGCGTCCTACGAGCTCTAGGGACTGGTTTGTTGCTGCTGCTGTGTCTAACAACACAATATCCTTCGGTAGTCTCGCCGTCAGCAGTTCTCTCCATATATGAGTAATGTCCCAGGGTGTTCTGTTTAACCTCTGTCTCTGTAACCATTTTCATACTCTCTATAGAAGCCCTCTCATTCACATGTTGTGGCCCTGGTGTTGGAGTGCGCTTAAACCGTGTTATTTCTCTGTCCAAAGTTGTCGAGCTGTAGCTTTTGTAGCTGCGTTCATCATTAAAGGCAACACCTTTTGTACCTCTGTCATGATAGTTTTCTACTTTTCTTTCATGCTCTTGAATACCTGTGGAGTCTTTGGCAAAGGCATCATTTGAGTCAGGTGAGCTGTTATCTGACCCAGAAAGGGAGGCACATACTGTATTCTTAGCCAGGCCGGAGCGGCTCAGTGTGGTGGTCCAGTGAAGCATCTCCTCCTCCTTGATTGTCAGACGAACTTTCATCTCCACTGTCATGCTGCCGTCTTGATTTATGCGGAAAGACTTCTCAATGTCATCATCATGAGGGACGATGTAGTTACTGTGCTCAATATTTCCCCCCTCAGGTCCACATGTCTCCATGGCTGCATGATGCTGATGAGCTTCTGTTCCAGATGGCCCACTGGGACGGTGCAGGTAGCCATTCAAGCTTTCATTCTGAGAGCTGTTTATCTGGTTAACGATGAATCGCTCTGATGAGATGGAGAAATTTCTGGAGCCTCTTCCACTGGATAAGGACTTCTTGCGCTTCTCTGCATGGGAAATTGTTTGACAAAAAAAAAAAATGAGTACATGTGAGCAAGACAGAGAAAAGACATTTTCAAATAAATATTATATTGCATTAATTTCAAGCCAGGCAAAATAATTTATACATCACATTTCATAAAGTAATCCAAAATCCTTAGAAGAAAATGAAAGCAATTGAAGTAAAAGGGAAGATGTATTGAAAATCTTTTGTTTAGAAAATATATACATATATTTTTTCTTATTATAAGAATAAATAAAATCTTTAATTTAAAACAGAACTATTTTTAAAAAGTTCAATTCTGAGATAACTTTATGTTTTGCTTAGGCTAAAATACTAATAATTAAAAATATGTGTTCTAATTTTAAGGAGCCAATAGTTTCTACACCACCTAGGCTTTGGGGAAGTTTGTTCCAAAGCTAAAGAAGGTAGGTTCTAAATACTTCCATGATTCTTAACACAATTTTAAAGCTATCACTTTGCACGAAATAGAGTTGGATTAGTAATGAGGTAAAATTTTAAAAGTATCAAGATTTTTTTTTTATGCAGAGCTAAAACAGATATAAGGAAAAGGAAAGCCTTTAATGTGACACCAGAATCTTTGGCCCTGCGGTCATTTGTACAATAAGTAGCTTAAACCCTGGCCAAAGATCTGAATATTGGCCAAAATTTTCTTTCATTAAAATTTGTGAAACGCTAGTCCCAATTTACTTTATCAAATGGAGTTAACTAATTTTAAACTTAAATGATATTCCTTAATTTAGCTTCTGTTATTTATAAAGGAACAGAAAATGTATTATGCCCTCTTTCAGATTTTTTTTCTTCATTTTTCAGTATGTTTCTATTTTTTCAACATAACAATACAGGTGCTGGTCATAAAATTAGAATATCATGAAAAAGTAGATTGATTTCAGTAATTCCATTTAAAAAGTGAAACTTGTATATTATATTCATACATTACATACAAACTCATATATTTCAGATGTTTATTTTGTTTAATTTTGATGATTACAAATGACAACAAATGAAAATCTCAAATTCATCATATCAGAAAATTAGAATATTACTGAAGACCAATAAAAACAAAGGATTTATAGAAATGTTGGCCAACTGAAAAGTATGAACATGAAAAGTATGAGCATGTACAGCACTCAGTATTTAGTTGGGCCTCCTTTGGCCTGTATTACTGCAGCAATGCGGCGTGGCATGGAGTCGATCAGTCTGTGGCACTGCTCAGGTGTTATGATAGCCCAGGTTGCTCTAATAGTGGCTTTTAGCTCTTCTGAATTGTTGGGTCTGGTGTATTGCATCTTCTTCTTCACAATACCCCATAGATTTTCTATGGGGTTAAGGTCAGGAGAGTTTGCTGGCCAATTAAGAACAGGGATACCATGGTCCTTCAACCAGGTACTGGTAGCTTTGGCACTGTGTGCAGGTGCCAAGTCCTGTTGGAAAATGAAATCTGCATCTCCAAAAAGTTGGTCAGCTGCAGGAAGCATGAAGTGCTCTAAAACTTCCTGGTATGTGGCTGCGTTGACCCTGGACCTCAGAAAACACAATGGACCAACACCAGCAGATGACATGGCACCCCAAACCATCACTGACTGTGGAAACTTTACACTGGACTTCAAGCAACGTGGATGAAGTGCCTCTCTTCTTTTCCTCCAGACTCTGGGACCTTGATTTCCAAAGGAAATGCAAAATTTACTTTCATCAGAGAACATGACTTTGGACCACTCACCAGCAGTCCAGTCCTGTTTCTCTTTAGCCCAGGCAAGACGCTTCTGACGCTGTCTGTGGTTCAAGAGTGGCTTGACACAAGGAATGCGACAGCAGAAACCCATGTCTTTCATACGTCTGTGTGTGGTGGTTCTTGAAGCACTCACTCCAGCTGCAGTCCATTCTTTGTGAATCTCCCCCACATTTTTGAATGGGTTTTGTTTCACAATCCTCTCCAGGGTGCGGTTATCTCTCTTGCTTGTACACTTTTTTCGACCACATCTTTTCCTTCCCTTCGCCTCTCTATTAATGTGCTTGGACACTGAGCTCTGTGAACAGCCAGCCTCTTTAGCGATGACCTTTTGTGTCTTGCCCTCCTTGTGCAAGGTGTCGATGGTCGTCTTTTGGACAACTGTCAAGTCAGCAGTCTTCCCCATGATTGTGTAGCCTATAGAACTAGACTGAAAGACCATTTAAAGGCTTTTGCAGGTGGTTTGAGTTAATTAGCTGATTAGAGTGTGGCACCAGTGGCCATCAATTTTGAACCTTTTCACAATATTCTAATTTTCTGATATGATGAATTTGAGATTTTCATTTGTTGTCATTTGTAATCATCAAAATTAAACAAAATAAACATCTGAAATATATGAGTTTGTATGTAATGTATGAATATAATATACAAGTTTCACTTTTTAAATGGAATTACTGAAATCAATCTACTTTTTCATGATATTCTAATTTTATGACCAGCACCTGTAATCAACACTTACGCATTTTAGGTTGCATTGGCAATGGTTCCTCGTGGTTCACATACATGATCTGGGGTGTGTGCCCTGCTCTGTTAAAACGCTGGTTTCCTAATCTGAAAGGCTCATTGCCAGCTGCCACAATTATTCCAGAGCAGAGGATAAGTGCAGCAAGGCCATCAACCTGGACAGATAAATTGGAGGAAAGTTAAACACAAGATAGAGATCATCAATAGCGTTTTTTGGATTTAAAAAGAAATATTGAAATAGTGCAACAATTCGGCGAATAAGACACAAAACATTTGTTTCTTTGAAAATAATATTTTACTTTTTGCATATTATTTATACTCATATGCCTGAGCTCTGAAAACTACTGTATTCAAGGCAAGACTACTTAAAATGTATTCACACTGTCAAGCCTTTACCAGAGCACGTGTTGAAATCTGTGCGTGTTACTCTAGGAGGCTTGTTGTTGCTGAAGGACATTCTGGATTAAAACATTTACTTACTTGGGTGGAGGACGTTAACAGGATTTTTTAAAATCTTTTTGGAAACATTCGACAAATTAAAACAAACGTGTGATGCATTCTATGTACACCAGTAAAAAACCAAGTGTTACTTTAACACCTACAGTACAGAGTTGAATATAACTCTGTTTCAGATAACATTTCCACGTCCAACTCTAAATGAATGTAAAACTTACTCTATAGCAAGTGTCAACTTTTCAGGATTAATTTCACTAATGTTGGGGTCAAAATCAGAGCATATCTCAAAGACTGGCGGTTAATCGACACCATACTGAGTAAAAGTTACACTGCATGGCAGTTTCACCAACTATTAACTCCAACAGTAGAGCAGATGTACGCTCAGGATAGTTGTAAATACTCCATTTAGCACAAAACATATTGACTTTGAATTTTTAACACCCAATCTTTTACAGTTTATTTTCTCTTAAAATGATCATATGGTCAATGTTCCTAATGTGTTTCTGAAAAGTTCCTTGAGCTTTTCAGACCAGGTGAAATGCAGCTGAGTGATCAGAAACTCATGGGATGAGATGGTCTCTTTGAAAATGAATAACTGAACTGAAAATAGTCTAGTGGTGAACACTATAAGAAGCTACACATTCAAGCCAGTACTGATGGCGTTTCTCAAACAAATCTCTGCCTGATTTAGTTCCGAGTCTCCTCCTGTTATTCTGAGAACTAAGAATTGCAACAGATTAGGAATGCCTAAAGAGGTTGCAGATCATTCCTTTGCATGGTGCTAACTGCGCTTTGACAGAGATATTAAACTCTTGGAAAGTTAACATTGTAAAGACAAATCCTTAAAGACCTAAAATAGCTGTGTCTAACAACTGACCAGTATAATGTCATACCCAATATAAGAATAAAATTGTTTTGTGTATTGTTTTTCTTCTTTAAAAGTGAAAATCCCTTTCACCTGGCTTTAAACTGCATTTTCTTGAGCCTGCACTGAATCTGATATCTGGTAGTTTTGCAATCACTGACTTTTAAATCTTCCCCAGATTAAACAACACATCTAAGAGATGTGTTCAGATAACCAATTACTTGTTCAAATTAATTTTTGTTTGTTTTTTGCTTTTATTCAAACATCTAATATATTTTCAACTAATGAAGCTTTGTCACAATAGAACAATGAAAAATGTTATCCACTACTTTTTCTTTCATTAATCAACTTTGTAGTATTTTATGCCATTTGATCTTTTTGTGTTTTTTAACATGTTTTCAAAAGATGAGATCAAATTTTGTCTTATAACCAATAAAATTCTGCTCTAAGCAATATTGTCCTTTATAGGTCATAAAAAACTTTTTTGTTTTGATTGAAGGAAAATATACATGCAAAGGGTTGACAGAACTTGTAGGTTATCATTAGTATAAGTTATGTTTGTATTTGAGGCTTTGCCACTTTTACTACAGCTACACCATACAGTAGGATCCCATCTAATCAATTCTTAATTGTTAAGCACTTACAAGGCAACCACAGCAGAACAAAGTTCTGTGCAGGATAATCACAGATATATAAAGGCTGTAGGTATGACGTTGGTTTTGTAGTATTTAAACCAGCATTTAGCAACTGTCCCCAGATGGATCGATTTAAATTATTTGTTTGACCGTTATTATTTGCTTCTTCTACTTAATCATCTTTCAAAGATAGGTTTAGACCGATCATAAAGAAAAGTTTATAACTGGCTTCAAATGGTGATTAAAACAAAATTTTAATTTGCATTTTTGGAAATTGTCCTGATTGATTCTGTTTCATCAGCTCTAATTTATCACATATTTTTAATGTTTATAAATATCCACCTGTATATTTTCTTATATTTTTTTCCTGTTTAGGGTCAGCATGTGTTTGATTACCTGAAAGAGTTATTGTGCCAGTCTACCAAACAGCTAAAGTTGCACTCACAAACTACAACATATCTGTAAAACTTTAAGTCACATCTTGTATCTTTAAGGTCCTGGTACAAAGCCATGCAACTGATAGAGGAGAAAAAATACAAATTTTTCTACCCGTGCATCTAACCCTGGTCCAGATTTTTGGCAAAGGAGCTCATCATATTTATTCAGATTCAATCAAAGTAGCACTTTTCTTGTGTCTTATTTCTAGTGATTGTATTTTAATGTTTATGAACCACTCACCCGTCTACCATCTGTGGTGTAGAGTTTCAGCACTGGAAACTGGAGGATCTGAGAGAGGTAATCCAGTAAAGCATCAAATGTTGGTGCTGTTTTTCTTTGCAAGACAACAGATCGTCTAACTGTCGGATCCCTGTTTTTGATAACTAGGAGCTTCCTGGGTGTCCGTACAGATGCTCTCTCTGTGACCTTCGGTGGTCTCTTGCTTGTATTATCAAACTGACGAAAGCGGAGCTTTGGTCTCTTTCGCCCTCCTGCATTGAGCGGCCTTGTGGCATTCCAAGGAAGCTGCCTACGGTTCACCTCATCCAGATTTAGTGGCTTCACACGTTTCTGATCTGAGCACACATAAGCTCCTCCGTCCTGTAAGTCTTCCAAAGCTTTGACGAAGTGAGTTCCCCGAGGTGTGGTTATGGTTCGTACACAAAACGGCAGAGGCACTTTTTTGGACAGAGCATCCAGCAGGGCATCAAACGTCTTGAAGGTGCGGGCAGTGACTATCATACGATGCCCAATGAATTGATAGTCACCGCTTTTGTAGAAACACAGACGTTTAGAAGCTGGAGGTTCAGAGTTGGGTTGTGCAGGCCTAGAGGGTAAGATCTGACCACTACTAGAAGACATCTTGTGGGCTGGAGGGTCCTGGACGGGTGTGTTGCTCATATTGTAAGGAGGTGGCTAGAAAGAAGGAAAACATTGAGGATTTTTTTTTTTTTTAAGCTCTAAAAAGAGTATCAATTAAATTCCATATTTTGTGAAATCTATTTTTTTTTTACCAGAGATAGGTCAACACTTTTTAGTTTTTGTAATGTTTGAAAGTACTAACTTTAAAAATATATCTATATATTAAATTGTTTGACTGAAAATACATTTTCAGCATGGTGTCCCTGAAGGAAATCACATCAACAAGTCTTTAAACACACCTACAAATTAAAAAACTACATATTTTCAAAAACACAACATTTTAAAAAGCACAACAACGTATCCAAAGGCACAAAGGCATTAACAAGAAACATGAGACCTTCCTGATTGGACGACGGCCCTGTTTGGCTTTTTAACTGGAGGTCATTCTGACAAAAAAGGCAGAATGACTTCTGGTGTTTAAAAACCAAACAATGCCACCAACCAATCAGCAAGGTATCCGTTTCTTTTTTTTTTCTTCCTGTAAGCTAATTTCATTGTGATTCGGAAAATATTATTTCAGTTTTAGTTTTTGAAAATGTTGTTAAACTTTTTTCACAACATCTAAGTTGTAGTTGTGTTTCAAGATTTGCTTATGTGGTTTTCACTTCAGGGCCACCGTATGCTGGGGATATTTTTTTGTTTGCTTGATTTTTATGAAACAAATTATTTAAAGCTTGGGCCTCTGTTAACTAAGAATATCAAAAACATAATTTTTTTACATCTTTTGTTACTGTTACATATTCATTAATACTTTTTTTTTTAATGATCATTTTAATATACTTTAGTGATTGAAGTGCTCTGTCTTTGCAACGTGTCCATGTGTAAGCAATGATATAATTTCTAAAGTCTACAAATCACATCTAAATTATAGTTAGTAGTTGTTCAATCTGATCATTCCCTACTATCCAATGTAAGTTCTTTGTTATCCTGCAAGCAAGATTTTTGATTATTTCCAAAGAAAATCGAGAACTTGAGGCAGAGTTTTAGTTTTTAGGGTACGTGTCTTTTCCAACCACTATCTGAAATGCATACAACCCAATGTTTTTTCTTTTCTCAAATATATAAAAATGTATTATTTTATTTAATAAAAATAAATAAACTTTTAGAACTGGTTAAACATTTTTTGTCAAGAATTTTCGAATGCTTTTATAAATCTTCCAAATTTGTCTTCTGTTTATTCTTTCAATGCTGGATATCTCTGTTGTGTGTTTACTCTCAAAAGTCTTATTGACTGAGAGTTATTACACTTTAAGTCTTGATTTGTTGTTAACATGCACCCAAATTGGGGGGGGGGGGGGGGGGGGGTCAAACAGAATTACTGGATGTTCATTAAATGTAACAATACAACAGAAGACACAAGGGGAAATTGCAATGTCCAGAAAATAATAGCCGCAAAAGAAGGATCTGAACATGTTCAAATATATAGAGAATATGCTATGGAGACTGAATGATACAATGCAAAATATGCAAAATATACTGAAAATACGAATGAGTCTACAAAGAAACACTGAGATCCTGGAAACTGACTAAACAGAGCATGGCTACAGAATTAGACTGAACACAGAACCAAAAGTCAAATTCCTTTAGGCCATACTGAGCTACTGAGCTTCATTGTTTATGTCTGGTATTCAATTTTAGCTGTTTTCTCATATAATTCTTGTGTTGTACTGAAAAGTATGAAAACCTGATGGGTTGCTTCTCTGAGTTTTCTCCAGGATACTGAAAATAACCATAATGGCTCAAATCTGCTCCTGGATATTAGGCTTTTCTTTATGACTGGTGTGGCTGCATAAGGTTTAACTCATCATGCTGTGCAAGTTAGCTGAAAGTTAAACTGAAGTTCTTGACTGAAAATAAATAATACCAAACCTCAATACAGTGAACATAAGTAATGCATTTGTGCCTTTACATAAGAAAATATGTTACTTTTCATATTTCCGCATAATCATAGTCTTTTTCTAAGTTTACAGGAAAAATAGCTATTAACATTTTAAGAAAAAGCAATCTAACTGAATATCCTTTCTATTTCGCACCAATAGCTCTCCTCAAAATACTGTCAACAGCAACAATCTAGATATGGACAGCGGCCTTCCATGGCTCAAACGTAAAGGAAGATTACAAAAATTTTACAATACAGATTACATTAGATTAAAAGCATAACTTAACATCTAATGTTAAAACCATTATATCAGCTGATGAAATAATAAAAACTTACCAAAAATGGGTATTTATTCTTGTTTTAGCAAAGCAAAACCAACTCAAAGTGTGCCTCCTTTGCTTCTCTCTTGCTGATCAAAGCCTCTCAGCTGAGTTGGAGGGCTATTTTGGGACATGCAACATCATGGCCAATTTGCTTAATCTTTGCTAACACTTGATCAGCACCTAAGGTTGGTGAAAAAATAAATACACTTGAAATAAAATAAAAAACAATATAAAACCTTAACTCAGATAAAATTTAAAAGAACTATTAACCCTTTCCTTTCCCAATTGGTACAATATATTTTTTCTTGTCTAAATACATTTGTATAGATGGATAGGAAACATTACATTTTATATCACAATATAATTTTGTAACTACAAACAGTTCACTACTATTTAATTATTTGTGCTCAAAGCCAACATGAAAACAAAAAAGGAGTGCACATGTTAGTAAACCTCAATAATATCCATAGTAAGGAGGTGAGAACAGCTGTGATAGTTCATGGGATTAAATACATATTCTGGGTACAATGATGGTGATATCGTTCTCCACAGATTTCACAGGTGGTTCAAACCATTCTGAATTTGAAGGGGGCGTCCCATAATCAGATTTGTGAGGTCTTGGCCTAATAGGGATTAGTTTGAAGATTCTGCGCACCTGCTGACAGCAGGAGGCAGAATAAAGTCTTTAAGCAGTACTTTTACATGGCAGCAGGTACTGGAAACTCTAGTTAGACCTCAGGACAAACAATACATCTGAATTAGGACTTGTAAACATGACACCATGTTAACAGTGAAGTATAAAAACTGAAAAATGATTTGGCATTGGCCCATCGCCATTAAAATATATATATATTGTAATAGAGCAGGATTTGCCTTTAAATTAAATGGACAAATTATCTAATTGAAATCTGCAGCAGAAAGTTGTGTCACTGCTTTTCAGGTTACAGGCATGGTGCCAATTCCCACCTGTCCAAGCTGTGTATAGGCTGCCCTTAATCCCAACCAACATGTGCAGCATCCTGGAAGGTTTAGAGTGTAGGAGTAGATTGCAAACAAACAGTAAATACACGTCACAATGTATATCAGAATATTCGTAAATTATGACCAAAGCATCACTGATATAAGTTGGTTATATTAAATAATTATTTTGCTATCAAGAAGCATAAAAGTAGAACTGTAACACAAAACATATAGATTGATCTAAAAAAATGTAGTTGCCTCCTTAAATGTTTCTTTTGTTTTAAACAAATACTTGTAATGGAAAGAACAACCTGATGAAATACAGAAAAGAACTTCTCAGATTTTGATCATGACTCACAAATAAGAGAGAGGATTTTAAAATGGCATCCATGGGAGCCCAAAGTCCAAAACCACTACTGTTGAAAAAGAAAGCCAACACATTTCTTATGATTCTCAGGAGAATTTTTATTGTCAAGAATGAAGCAATAATTGTTTGTGGACAAAATGAAGCAGGGCTTTTTAAAAGGTTCTATCTGATTGCATATTTCATAAAGAAACAAAGCCCAGAGCCAAGAGTGGTGTTTTTTTAGTGATAGTTGTAGGCTGTCTTACTGCTTTAGGATCTTTACAACTTTCTGTAAATGAAGGAACCAGGAATTTCTGCTGACTTGCATTCAAACCTAAAGGAGGATGTCGGCTCAGCAGAATTACTTGGGTTATGCAAGATAGTTATCCAAAAGGCACCCGTAAGTTCCCATCTAAATGCCTTATAGCCACATACATGCAAATCAAGGCTTTAGCAGGTTCTAATAAAAAAGTCTGGACTGGGTAAGATGTTGTCAGTTCTTGACTAAAGTCCCTATGAGGACTAAGTCAAACTTGGATACTTGCACTTATATTGGATATCCAGTTGAGCTAGTAAATTTTAAATCACATTCTATTCTGTAGCAATACACTGTTTATTCCTTCGTTTGATTCTTTGTATCAGATTTAATGACACAAACTACATTATACAGCAATATTTTTATTTCAAAGTATCAATTTGGCGGAAATTAACATTTTTGTCTTCTTACTAGTTTGCCTATGGAAAGCGGGGGACCATAAATGCACAACCCCTAATTACTGTAAAAAGACAACGTAAAAACATTCAAGATGGTGTAATCTAAGAAATTATTGGTACTGTGGTGGCAGGTGGGAGATGTGCTCAGTTGCAAGCGAAGCCCCAAATCAGATTCCCCATAAAAGTGTCTCTCAATCTTGGACTATCTCTGATAACCTCCTTCTTCTTCTTTTGGCTTTTTTATTTTCAGGAGTCATTTGACTCCATCTTATTATATCCTCTGAATCCTGTTCTCTCACACCATCTACCTTCATTTCCTCTTTCACTCCTTTCATAAATCTCCACTTCAATATTTTTTATTTTCTTCCTATCTTTCTCTCTTGTCTTTTCCTACTCTCTTGTCTTTTACTATTGTTGTAATGGTTAGAGTGTTTTTTTTTTTCTTAGACTGTATTTTTTTAAATATATGTATGCTTTTTACTCGGGTGAGTGATTTTTTTATGTTGCACTTTGAAAACTTGATACACATAAAAAAAAAAAAAAAAAAAAAAACATTGTGCGTTGGCGCCACCTGAAGGCGGTCAGTATATTTGTAAAAAAAAAAAATGTTCTGTTGTACAAGAACCTATTTTTTCGGTTATTGCAAAAATCTATGTATATATAAAAATCACATGGCAGACACTTTCTTATTTAATTTCAGAGTGATTACAGCCGTATGATTACAATAGGATCCGGCAACATCATCGATGCTTCTGTCTCGATTAACTCCCCTTATGTACGTTAATTCCAGGCATCGTCTACTCAGGTCTGCTACACAGTGGGGGCAGTAGCTCTGTGGTCCCGGTCCGCCAAGTTGACGCTGCCGCCTCCGCCGTTGCCTCTTTCTCCTGGCGTGGTCTTTTTTGTCCCGTATTTTCTTTTCGCGTGTTCGTTTTTTTGTCCTGTTCTCTTTAATTAATCAAGATGGGGAAGAAGGAGGAAGAGGAGATTATCAGAATCGCGAAAAAGATGGATAAAATGGCGCAGAAAAAAAACGGGGTGAGATGTTGTGAGAGATGAATGCTATTAGCCGACCGTGCTAGCAAAGGCTCTAATGGGATACGATAGCAACGGCTAATTTAGCTTCTACCAAGTTCACTTTATAAGAACATTCTAGATGCTAATATAATTTGGTTTTATGTTTGTGCCGTAAATGTGCACATTTTTACACTTGGTAAAATACTCACAAATTATATCAATGAAGTTTGGAAACTAACACTTTAGCTCATGATAAGTTGTTTGCTGGCAGTGTGTTTATTTGTGTTGCTAAAAGTTAGCAGTTAGCCGCCGCTGAACCGCTGCGGTTATCAACAGAATACATGTATATGTGTGCAGTAGGTATTTAAACTAATTGTGAATTTGAAAGTACAATATAATTAGAGATATAATTCATAACTACATTATTTTCTTCTCATTCGCTGCTAAATAGCGTCCTTAGTTCTCCTTGGTTACTCGGTCTGTAGCCGCCTAGCAACTATAGCCGTGCAGTATTACTACTGTATGTTATGATGCTGCTTCACTGTAGCTGCAGCAAATTATTGGTTCTAATCCGTAAAATATTCAGCACACTGATCATTTCAAAGCCTGATTTAATCATAATTTAAAAGGTTAGAATGAGTATTTTTGTGTAATTTACATTTGTGTTAAATGTTTAGATTGTATCACCACACCAGAGACATGTAACTACAGTTATTAAGTCAAGTTTACTTTTTTAAGGTCAGAAGGAAATATTTACAATATGATTCTTTTAAATGTTTTATACCAATAGTTGTTGTTTATACCAAATAGTGTGCAAATAGAGAAAGCTGATTTTTCATGACACAGACTGAAGCTACCCACATTGTTTTGCAATAAATCTTTTAATTTGATGTACCTTCAGGCTTTTAAATACCACTTATTGGAAATAAAAAGGATATTTTATGTTGGTTTATTTTCTTTTTTCAACTTTGTTTGTATGCACACGAAGTGTTTTTAATTATTTCCAGTAAACTATTTTCTATCAAAATTGAAGTGGGATTTCATTATTTGATCATTTGTATTTTTGTTCTAATAACATTACATTTGATTTTTTTTTTTTTTATTTAATTAAAACATTTATTTCTGTTTAAAGCTCACAGAAAACTGTATAACACTGGCATTGCTTCAGTAACACTTTTAAAATATTTTAGCTACATTGAAACATTCTCTTTTTTTTATAACATTTTAAGTCATTTTTACAAGAATTACAGAAAGAATTACTTATGGAAAATTAGGTATGTGAGATATGGCTTTGTCATATTATGAGACCTCCATTTAAATTGATAATTACTTTTGTTTTATTTATATAATTAAAATAAGATCTAGGAGAAACATCCCCATATTTAAATTGTAACCCAAAACTGATCTAAACATAACCTTCAAAAAGAGGTCAACCCAATCTGTTACTCTGCCATTTGCCAAAAAATTTATTTTTGTTGGGTGTTTTCTATTGATAGGTTTTTAATAATGATACATATTGATACTAATTTATTGCCGGGCCCTATGGCGGTATGTCCTTTCTATTTTCGGTACCAATTGTGCTATTGAGACAAACATCTATACATTTATACAAAAAACCTCTGTAAAATTTCTTAAATTATAGCTTGGAAAGGCTAATTTTTAATTGAAAATGTTTTTTATATGGATGTCCCTCTAAATATCCAAGCTATTTATGCTTAACTGCATGAAAACTTAACACTTTGTTGAAATAGTAGTTACAATAGAGTGACAGCAATGTAATCTTGCTCCAACATGAGTTAGACTCCCATGAAATAGACCCATACATTAGAACTAACTGGATTTTCTCAATCCACAGTTTGGTTACATCTCTGATATAATTGATTGCAAAGATAATGTAGGGGTAAAGAGTTGTAATAAAGCTTTCCTTAACAGGCTCTTGTCTCCTTAACTGCAGGCCGGTGCTTTGGATCTTTTGAAAGAGTTGCGCAGTGTACCCATGACTCTGGAGTTGCTCCAGGTATGTTAATTTTTCTTCATGAGGGCCT